AATTTTAAAGACAATCTAATTCAGATAGTGCATTATAATACCTTCATCCTCTATTACATTGTCATAATCACCTCTAAAAATTATATTAATAGTTAAATAAAGGAAATTTATGCTACTAACGTATTTTTAATAAATAAAATCTATAATGAAATACTTTCTAAAATTTTGTTATATTTTATATGCAAAAATGACAATTAGTTTAGAGAATCCTTAAAAGTGTCATCTTTAAACATCTGTAAAATTTTTTTTGCAAAATATTTTATAAGCTTTAGAAAAATTTTCGAATCGAATCGAATATTCGACGAATCGAAACGAATAATGATTTTATTATTCGTACGAATGCGAATAGCGCAATACGAATAATAGTATTATTCGATTCGATTCGTTTTTTGTAGGCCTACTCATAATAAGAGTTTCTGTTCGAAAACAACAGTAAACCCTGTATATAAGGATAAAAAAATTGTATATATATATAGTTGCATTTGTAAATGTGTATCTGTGTTGAGGTTCTTTTTAGAGTATGTATCTGTATATAGATCCATTTGAAAAGTATCTTTTAACAACTCTGATGACTACTACGACTTAAAATTTTAAAAAATTCTTAAGAAATATTATTTACTTACCCAAAATTATTAGTGAAAATCTTTATTTCTGTTAATTTTAAAATGAAAATAAAGAGCTGTATATTTCCGTTTATATGGTTTACCTAAAAATTCATAAAACGGATATTCCAGTTCATTACGAAAAAGATAAAATTAATTTTTATCAATTTTTTTTTCAATAAATATAAAAAATATATATAAACATATTAAAATGTCATATGGGAAAAATTTGTATATATCTAAACTAGATATCGATCTAAAATATTACAATATCTGAAATAGAGATAGATAAACCGGATTATATAAGCGAAATTTAAACTAAAAGATGTGTTCTCAATAATAAAATTAAGAATATAATGTTCTATATAATTTAATCATAATATATAGATCAAATCATGTGATTCATTATAACCGCCTTTTAAATTGTTCATATTCCAACTTATTTACATTATATTAGGTCTTATGCCTATGATGTTTTGGGATATAGAACACTCTTTTAATTTTGGTATTTAAAAAGTATAAAGGTTTTCAAAAATATAGCTAAATTTATGAGAAATAAATTCAAGTCTAGTTGAAAATATGACAGGTTCCTGTAATGTTGGAAAATATAGATATGGCAATACAATCCTTGACCGATGATTATATAAAAAAAGTAGTGATTAATTTTTTTTTAAATGTAATGTAAGTAGAGCTACTTTTTAAGTAGTTATAAGGGGGCTAATTTTAAAAAAAATAGTAGTAATGGTAGCACGCTACATCCAGGAGTAGCATCATAACACAGGATGTGTTCAACTGATTTTTTTTTGGTTGAATTATTTTTAAACCCAATTTTATCAATTCGAAAAAAAATATTCTTCAAAAATTGATTTAAAAATACCCTTTTCTCTATATATGTAATTTTTAAAAACATAAGTGTTTTTTCGATATATATATAACGTAGATCATCGTGAATAATTGTTACTCAATCTATTATTGATATAATACAATCTAACAAGGTCAAATAATTGGCTAAAAAAATTTAAGAAAAAAAAATAAAGTCAATAACGATTTTTTTGTTAAAATTGTGGAATTTCGTATTATCAATTTTTTTTTAAATATCGCATTCATTATCTAATAAGCAACTTTTAGGTTTTAACTCTTTTAATCGTCTGCTAATAAGGATTCGTTATTCATTTGATAATCAATATTTATTAATATATATATTTATAATTTATTATTTTGATTAGATTAGGGGAGATTTTGTCAAAATAGGGCCAACCCAATCTCGAGGCTCAGGTAATATTCTTGGCTAAAATCTTAATTTATCCGTTTTTAAAAAGCCGGTTTTCGGCAACAGCACTTTATGCATTATTCATTATATAAAGTAAAGTACACAATAATATGTTTATTAGCGGTTTTTCATTTTTTGGCAAAAAAAGCTTATATTGTCAAAGCCTCTAAACGCAAAAATACTAATATAGAGGTCAAAGAAAAGAAAAACTGAGATCAATTACAATCAGTGTCAAACTATTCTCTTCTTAATAAATATAAAATGAATGATTGAAGTGGTCGCATAACAAATTATATTAATTTAAAAAGATTAAGGAATAAAAAACTTTTCAAAAATTAATTTATAAATACAAATTAAAACTACATTTCTAGCCTCTCGTAGCTTAGGTGAAAAACATCACAGGAAAGAGATAAAAATTATTAATATTTTCAAATTATTTTTATTTTAGTCTAAATATGAACAGGTAGAAAAAATGATCTTAAATAGGAAATCTGAACCATTGTATATCTGCATCGGTGATTATTAGGGGTATAAAAATAAGATAATATTATATTTTTGAAAAAAATCGAAATATGATTTCAAAATTTATTGATACATTTTACATTTTTATTAGATACAATTGTAATTTTTTATATTTTATGAAATTTTTTAAAATAATTCATATGTGTTGGCATATGACATGTGTTACATATATATCTATCTTCATTTTGTTATTAGTAATTGTGGTTTAATACATAAAAAATTTGAGTTGTTCAACTTATAAGGAAAATTGACTAGAAAGGTCTTCACTTGTACCTCTCTTTTAGTTTACAGGGAAGATTTTAAATGGGTCGTAATTATTTCAGGCCGAAATGTAAGTAATGATTTGTTATCATCAGGATTAACTCGATTGCATAACCTCCACTAATTTACCATTATCACATCAATTAAATTTCTAAAATTATAGAAATTAAAGAGATAAGGTTGTGTAATTTTTATTTTTGAGAAAATATTTTGAGAAAATATTTTGAGAAAATATTTTGAGAAAATATTTTGAGAAAATATTTTGAGAAAATCTTGCCACGGAGGACTAAGTAAGAGCTTTGCATAATGATGCAACTGTCACCACTGAACTATCATTTCATGAACCCGAAATATTTCATTTGTCTATTCAAATCGGTAATCGTAATAGCCCATTTCTTTTTTGCCATAATTTTAGTTGTTTCTAGAGAATTTTCAAGTCTATTTTTTCTTATAGTCCCAGTTGAAAAATTTCAAGTTGTTTCAAATGTGATAAAAGCTTTGAAAATGTAAAAAAAATTATTGAAGTAATAGAATGCGAAGAGGGCAATTGGACGACATTGAATACATTTGGAACAACTGTACCTTCTAATCCAATATTCAAAGCCGTTGGGGTTTTCTTTTATCTTAATAAATTACGCAAATATCTATCTAAATATTCTAATATTTTTTAAAAATTATTATAAAAATATAATTAACATAAAATGACAAGTATTTCATAATAATATGTAAATAATTTTTATATTGAAAGTACTCTACACCGCATTCACAGTTGTGCAAATTCGCGGCGAAGTATAGAAAAATAGAGTTTAATTTGTAAACTTCGCCGATGCACGGTGGAGAATACAAAAATACTGATTATTTTGGGCCGACTATGAATGAGTGATTATATGAAAATATATAAGAATAACAATAAAATCATGAATTTTCTAAATAATAAAAATATTATGATGAAATAGTATTTTTTTACTAAAGAATATAAACAAAATTTTTTAATTAAAATATATAAAAAATTTAGAAAAATGGAATTTCTTTTAGTCATAATTGAAATAGGTTGAGGCTATAAGAAATAAATTTATGTCAAATTGTCGAACTTCATTGGCATCTAGAGCACTCAAAAATAAATATTTTTATTAAATATTATTTTATGTTATGGTACAATCTTCGAGCTATAAGAATCATATGTGAAATTATTTCAATTCAAAAAATTTATGAGTGAAAAATGAATAAATAACAACTGTTGCAGGTGAGCTACTAAAAGATCGAGAGAGAAAAATCGAAACAATTTTAAGTAATAGCGTTTTTTAAATTATTGTGGTCTGCATAGTTCCACTTGTGCTATAAAGAGTTAAGTAGCTCCTATGGTTCAGTAGCTTCGATGCCTGGTTGGTAAAACAAAAGTCTAACCTTCATATCCTGATTGGCGCATTTATCAGGTTTATTTTTCTAGGTTAAGGAAAAAATGAATAGATATTTATTAAAAAGAGCATTTAATATATTGCAACTTTTATCTTTTGATTGAAAATTATCTGGCATGTAGTCAGTTTCATAAACATTGACGGTGATTTTCGATTTATAAAAATTTATCTTATAAATTATTTGTTTCAAATACTTTGGATGAGGGGCCATTTTTAAATTTTAAATAATAAAAAAAACCTCTGTAAACTTACTCTTACCGATAAATTTCCCAAAAGAAATATTTTAAATCTTGATTTAATCTATACCCGCAATAATCCATGTGGTTATATTAAAGAAGATTTTGCTTGATTTTAACATGATAATGGCTAAATTTTTGATTCGCAAAATATTTAACTTAGTTATAAATGTTTCTTATTTCATAAAATTTTTATTTAATAATATAAATTTTATATCTTCAAAATATTTTTAAGCAAATTTTTTTTTTAAAGAAAAGAGATTTTTTTTGATCAAATCTTACTTGAATATGCTAAAATCTTTTGCTATATTCATGTAAAAATATTTTTTTTATGAAATTCAAATTTTTAAAAAAAATTATCAAAATTTTTTCAAGATTTATTTTCACTATGCTTTATAGATATAATATAAATATTAAAATAATCTTTCTTTAAATCTTTTGACTAGAGAAAAAAATTTTTGCACGAACTATTTGACGTTGGGTGGAAAAATAGTAATGATTGTAAAAGGAAATAGAGTTAAAAAACATAATTTCACGTTACTCAAGAGAGCAGAAATTTTAAATGTTAAAACATTTTATATATTTTAATTTATAAAATTTCTACGATCAAAAATAAACGGTAAAACTTTAAATACAGAAACATTAATTTGGGGTCTAATTTTTATTTTATAAGTATATAGAATAAATAAATCACCTATCGTGCCCTTTTTTGATCTGGTTAGGGTAATGCAAAAGATTACAAGAATTCAATTCTTGCAAAGCATTTTTGTAATTCGAAAAAGACGATGGATCGCAAAATTCCATTAAATTTCTACAGTATTTGGGTCGATTAGATCTATATTTTTTTTTGTAAGTTAACATATTTCAAGTAAAAATAATAAAAACTTTAACAAAATAAATAAAATTAAGAGCAAAAAGATTTTAAAAAAATTATATACTAATTATTTTATTAGACAAGCAGTTCAGGTTAGGTCCTAAGTTGGATAGAATGGGGGGTGGAGGGGGGGGGGGGGTTGTATCCTTCTTTATCATCGTAACGGGTCTGGTCTAATTTTAACATTTTAACCGGATAAGTAAGGACCGAACTGTGAAAATTTTTATACCAAACCTAAAAAAGGTCTTATTCAAGATTATTTTGATAAAATCTATCAAAAAACTTTGAGAAAAAATACATTGTTCAAATTGAACTGATACCCCCCTTTGTTTTGGAAATAAATCTATCAATTCTCAAAATAATTCAATAAATTTTATAGATTGATAGAAGAGAGATAAATTATCAATGTTTTCTGTAAATTTCTTCAAATTCTATCAACAGGGTCCAAAATTATGCACATTCAAAGTTGGGCAAACAAAATTGAAGCTGAAAAGATAAAATTATTTTTTTACAAAACTGTATGCCTTACTAACTAAAAACTAAAAATATGACGTATAATAACGTCATTTCCATTTAAGCAGACGATAAACCAAATGGTTCACAGTAAAGATGACGGAGTTTAATTATAATTTTACAAGAAAAACATCAAGGAGGCAAAGTTTTTGAAGGAATTTCTTAACAGAAAATGGTCTATTGCATCCTTGAATAAATTTATTGCAAAAAATGATAATACCGAATCAACAGAAAAAAAAGGTATAGAGGTTATAGGTCACGCACGGCTCATACTAAGGAAAATGTTTATTTTGTTGAAACATTGGTATTGACTATTGAGACAATAAGACCGAAGTGAAACCCATAGAACATATCGTCAAGTATCCCGAGAAACTGGTATTTCGCGAACTTCAGTGCATCGAATTAAAAACAAAGAACTGTAGCTAACATGTTTAAAAAAGAAACAAGTCAGAACCTAACCAATAAGAATAAGATTACCAGCTTGGTACATACAAAACAACTCTTTCAAAAATACCCAGTTCATTTCATGTGATTCACGGATGAAAAGGATTACAGTAAATTCACCAGTAAATCTTAGATTTTGATCCAATCCGGTTGACTACAAGATATGGAGCATCCTTGAACGTGTTTATCAAACCCGCATACGCAATATTGGTCATCTAATATTGTGACTTATGGAGGAATGGAATCGTTTTAATCAAGGAATTGTTAATCGTGCAATCAATGAATGGCGAGATCGTCTTAGAACATCGACCTAATTGCGGGAATTTTGAATATCAACTTTAAAGAACAACATTTGACTCAAATTAATTTTAAATGTTGATGTTTTCGTCGAATTATAAAATTTAATAAAAATGAATTTTTAAATGTTTGAAAAGTTCGAATTTTGTTTTTCCAACTTTATATGCATTTTGGACCCTGTTGATAGAATTAGATGAAATTTGCAGAAAACATTGATAATTTATCCCTCTATCGATCTATAATCTATTTAATTATTTAAAATTGACAGATTTATTGCCAGAACAAAAACGAAGTTCAATTGGGACACAGTGTATATAAAATTTATAAAAAAACTAAGCTAAGGTAATACTTGAAAGCTAAAATTTCGGTAAACGGTAAAACATTATAGATCCTGTGATGAGATGGTGATAATGAGGAGCCCTTGTGTGAAATAAGTCCCGAAGTCATCATGAAATTCGATAAATCTTCCTTGTGGGTAGATTGATAATTTTCGTTTACTATGACCCGTATTACTATTAATGCTTCCTCAATCTTATATTATCATTTTTTTTAATTTATGGTAAGATAGTTTTAAAAAAAATTTCATTTCTTCCCTTTTAGTTTGACAATCGTCACTCATATTAGTGTCTCGTCTTAACTTAATTAACCATAGTCTTGACTTTATAATAAAATTACGAAACCTTTAATCACCTCCTTAAGTTAGTAGCCGTTTTAATTAAGGTTTGGATATTCAAATCAATTATATTCCATATAATGACCGGCTTAAGATACAAAAAAATGGCTTTTGCTGCTGCATACAGTGCTTGCGCCTAAACGGGCATTGGTTAAAATATAATTGTTATTTAGTAATTTTCTATTATACTGATCAATGTCCTTTATGACCACGTTTTCAAAGAATAATAGCTATTTCGTTATTCGATTGAATTATTTGAAACTATTCGTAAAAATTTGAAATTATTCGTAAGTAATCAACATGTTCATTGTAAAACTTTGTATTCTTTACTTTAGTTCCAAATTTACCAATCATTTTATTAAATTTAATCATTCATTTTTGGACTATTGAAAGTATTCAGAAAATTTTAAATTTTCCTGCTAACTAATATTTAAGTTTAAGGCAATGGCTCATTTTTTTATCCAATTATTTTATATTGTTTCCAACAGTATTTTTTTTTATTGATGAGTGATTCCTTTCTCTATATAAATGACGGATTTGTTTCAATAGCAATAATCGCACATTCAACTTCTTCAATTATGGTTTTAGTTTTTGCCAATTTTTCTAAAAAGTTATTAATTGTACCAATCCGATATGGTTTTTAAATATCGGTGTATAAAATAAAATCCGAAATTAAGCATGATTCGAGTAAAATAGATAAAACACTATAATAATAATAAGGGACAGCTAACGAGGGATTTTTTAGATTTTTTAAAATAATTATTATATTTAACGATATATACCTGTAAATAGTAACGAAAACGAAAATGAAATAGATTAAAATGCTTGAGGAAGGCGTACAAATCTATACACAATGTATAACACCAAGGACATTTCAAGGCAGCACTATTAGAAATTACAGTTTGAATATGATTATTGCGGATGGGAGTGATGATGGAGTCACCTTCCGAATTCTCGATGTTTATTGCTACTGGATAAGTGTCATCTTGCCATTCTTCCTTTTTCAATGGGCAACAATTTTCGTAATTATCGGGAAGAAATTTGATATCATCTTCCCTTTCCCCATCTCTCAATGTTCTCTTATTAGCATTAGGGCAAGAATTAGTAGCTAACAATTCGAATTGTAGCACTATTTTACGGGACGGTGGTAACTGCTGGTTGAGTAAACGTTGCTCGTCCTTCAGCCAACGGAGCTTTCGTTCTTCCGATTGATTCTTCTCCTATTATGTTTTATACAGATTTGTATAATATTGAACTAAGACACATTATTCTCAAGGTGGCAAGAATGAATTTTGAGTGTACTATCCATTGCCAAATTATTTATCATAACAACACTTTTTTCCAAATCAAATATAAAATTAATAAATAAATTATATTCATTTAAAAAGCGGAATTAATTCTATTTCATATGTCAAACGCAAGAATCTAAAAATATGATTTGCTGTAAATTTCAGTGGATGATTTTGATTAAATAATATAAGAAATTCGAAAAAGTTTAACAAATTGATTTCTCTTCTAATTCAAATTTATTGCTATGCCAAACTAATTCTGACATGGGTAGTACATAATTTTTAATAAATTGTTATATTGGCAATAAATTATATTTTACGCAAAATATAAGCAAATAATTATAACTCACATTATCATTTGGGTTATTTGGATTATATAGTGATGGTAATGGTTGGCATTTTTTTCTTGTTCGGGTTTTTTTTTCGGCAAAAATTTTGGAGGCGTCGTTGGGTAAAGGGTAAGGAATAGAAGGGTTATTCTCGTATGGTACCAATTTTTGTTTTAAGTCAGTTTCTAAATAATTGTGTATACTGCTAGATAAGTGAAGTGTCATCATATTCTTGGGATCTATATTACGTTTGTTATTCATAAAATTATATATATGTATTGTCAATTAATACATTCATACAATGATTGATTTTTGCCACATTCGGCCCCTTCCAAACAAAACGTTTTTTTTAAGCGTTTTCCGAGGTACGTTTTTCGGAATTTTTTTTTTACTTCCAAACAACAAACGATTTTTATTATACAGCTGATTTTTTATATTACAAAATATTATAATAAATAATTTGTGTGGTACTATATCACCAGAAAAGAGACCAATGTCACTTTAAGGCTAATATTATGTACTTATTAAAATAAAAAGCATATAAATTACTTATAGGAGCAAAATATTTTCAAATAGCCTATACGAGCAGAATAAGAATGAATATTTAATGGGATAAGATATCCAAGTGAAAGATATTCTTAAATAGATTACTATTATTAAAAAATAATTCACCAGATAAGTTTATATATTTTTATTATAAAATTTACATTAATAAATAAAATTAAAAAAATGTAGACAAAGAATATCTTAAATATATAATACATGTTTTACAATATTGAATTAAGAGATGCATTTAAGAAAAAATTAGGGATAAAGGTAGAAAATCTATTGATGGTGCTATAAAGAATTAAAATTATATTAAATGGCATTCCATATAATTGTGTAATAAATAATTTGCAAGGTTTTTTTGGAATTATGTAATTGTTTATAATATTTAAAATAAATATATGTAAATTGAAGATATTTCAATAACAACATATCTATGCTCTAATATATTCTGGGATAAATATAATATTTTATCTGCTAAATATTCATTTCTATAATAATGATCATGGCAAGTTATTTAATAATTCCATTATCGTAATTTCTTTAAATTCATTGAATACCTTATTTAAATTTAATAACAGAAATATAAATAAATATATTTATATCAAATAATCATACTTAAATAATTAAAAAATCTTTTAATTACAAATTATGGATTAGAAAGTGTTTATTAAACTAAAAAGATATTATCAAACTATTTTACCTTTTAACATTAAAATCCACAATTCATCTAATACTTATTTAAGTAAGTATGTTTCACCTTGTTTAAAATTTTGCGTAATATAATATTTTAAAAAACAACTTGTTCACTTCAATCATATAACACGCCATTTAATCGTTAAAAAATATAAAACTAGTTTGATATTAAAAAAATGCAAAAACGTTTGAAATAAAAAAACGTTGTTTGGTAATTGTTTTTTTCTCGCTTTGATAAACGTTGTTTGGAAATGGCCTTCAGCTTAAACTTAGTATTTATATATATATATAATATTAATAAGGATAACCCGCTTCGATAATATTCAACCATTTTTGTTTCTCTTAAAAGAAAATTTAAAAATTTTGGGTATGATATTGGGTATTAGAAATGTTCCGATATCTCCGGTTAAGATTCGAAAAATATCATAATTCTTTTCGCCTTTTTTCTTTTAAAATCAACATATTTAATTAAAATATAAAATAATACCTAACATAAGTGCCCTTTATCCCCCCCCCAGGCCAATTACGCTAAGGCCCCATCTAATGACGCGAGGAGCTAATCTGCCAGTGAGACTGCCCCTTATCTTAACAATACAACTTCATTTTAATCGATAATAAAGGGTGTAATAATCTTTGGTGTGCATGAGGTTAAAACAGGGTTGTCAGTAGTGATCTGCATCGGGCCTAATTTTTCAAGCCCGGCCCGAAATTTTTTTAAAAAAGTTTTGCCGGCCCGAACCCGAAATTTTTTTAGAAAGTTTTGCCGGCCCGAACCCGAAATTTATTTTAAAAAAATTTACCGGCCCGGCCAGGCCCGAATTTATTTAAATATAGAAATTAATTTTTATAATTACTTAATAAAAGACATATGTTATATAGCGTTTAGTTTCAATAAATTAAATCAAAAATTTTTATTTTACATAAAAAATTCAATATAAAATGGATAAATTTAGATATATTTAATAAAATTTCCAAGGTCCGACCCGACCCTGCCCGAAATTTTTTTTAAAATATTAGGCCCGGCCCGAACCCGATTATTTTAAATAGAAATAGGCTAGAACCCGGGGACTCGGGCCGGGCCTAACTTTGCAGATCTCTAGTTGTCAGATCAATGATTTGGCCGCGATTCTGATGCCTACCTCATGTTTATTACATTTCTGTTTTCATTTTCACGTTTTTGAACAAATAAAATATTCCTTTTCCCACACTTTATCTTAAGTTTTTATAAAAAAGATAACATTTTTATATATTTTGTTAATAGATATAATAGTTTGGCAATGTTTAATGGCTAATTCAGATATCTGAAGGCAAGTCATAAAGAAATTAAAATAAGCATTGATGCAAGAATTAATTTATTGAGTATTTCTAAAGTTAACCTATTTTTTTTAAATCCCGAGGTTGAGGTTTTAGTTTTAAGCTAAAAATTAGATTTCGTCATTTATAAAACGGCTAAAAATTAGCTAAAGCTGTTAAAAATGGAACAATTATCTAGCCCCATCAGATTACCATCATCATTTAAAATTTAAAAATATAAATATTTTTTATTGCGAAGTCAAATACTATGCAAAATCACTTAATCCTGAATTAATATATAAATATACTTAAATAAAATATTACAGTTGATAATGATTCATTTGAATCATGTTAAAGGCAAACCAGACTATACTGTTTTGATTAATATAATAATAACAATTTCCCTGTAAAATTAAATTTATTTTCACCTGATGCATTTAAATATAAGTATTGATAGGAGGATATATGATGTCTAAAGACATAAAGGATGGAATCCCCCGGGAAAATCAAGGCAAAGGTCCCGTCCCCCAAAAGGGAATATGAGGCGAAACCTTCCATAAACTAGTATAAAAGAAGAAAACTTGACCTTTGAGCATCCGAGAACCCTTGGTTGAAAGAATAGTTAATGATTATTTCTAGGGCTGTGCTGGTCCACATATTTTTCACCGATCCGATCCAATCCGATATTGGTTCAAAACCGATCCGATACCGATATTTATACTGATTTTTCACCACCCCCTTTGAACCAAATGTAATTTAGAAATCAATATATTTTATGCAAAAAATCGAATTAATGAATCTTTCATTATTCCTCCTCGTTAAATTAGAATTCTGCAGATAACGCATTTTGCAAAATTATCTTTTCTTTTGTAAAATTTTCCCATAATTCAGATACCAAATTTTAATAAATTCTTTTATTTAAAGTATAAATAATAAAATTGACTTTATTCTTGAAGAAGATTTAAAATAAAAAAACTTTGGGTGTTCCTTTTCTATTTTTATAAAAAAAACTTTTAAAATACTATAAATCTATTTTAATAAATAAATAAAATTTAGGGGGGTTTGTGCTTTTGCATTGTTTAAAAATAATATTTAGAAAATATTATAATAATGTAAAATAAATATACAAAACATAAAATAACAAAAAAAGAACGGATCGGGTTTTTACAGGTATCGGTCCGATCCGATATTTTGGAAAACGCTAAATATCGGTGCCGATCCGATCCAATATTTAATATCGGCACAGCCCTAATTATTTCATAGACAATTAATAGATTTGGAAACCTGGATAAATAAAAAAAAGTGTATGCGGCAAAGTAAAATAAAGAAATAAAATCCAATTCGATTTTTATAAAAAGGCTAAAAAAAAATTTGTAATTAGTTTTATGAGGAGGGCAATTTTTTGAACGATATTCTAGTAAAGTGATTGCCTCATGCATGCCCCCCGTATTAGAAAGCCGTACCTCACTCACAATTAGGAATAAATTTTAAAAAAATTATAACTAGCCTAAACTAATAATAATGTTTTTAAAACTTCGCGATAAACAAAGTTTTTATTTTGCTAAGTTTGCAATTTTTTAACGATAGGTAGGCTATAAAATTTTAATTTATTGATTGTTGACTACTTAGTATAATTTCCAAATTTTAATATGATAATATAATTTTTTGCCGAGCCAAATATTTTAAAAAAACTTAATAATTTTTCAGCATATTTTAAAAATTTTTTAATGCTACCTTTTTGTTGTATGTATTATGTACACTACCCTGGTTAATATATTAGTAGCATTATCTCGGCTCATCAATATATAACATTTTTTTGATATTTCGGTCAACAGGTATTTGGCTACCTCTTTTTTTCAATCATCCTTAATATATTTTTTTTATATAAAATCGTAATAGTGCGCACAAATTGAGCGTTTCAAACGTTGCGTTGCAAACGCAACATTTTAAATAAAAAAAAGGGATTTGTCTTTTGAAAATTATATTATTGTCTGCGTTCTTATTTCTTTAATTTCTAAATATTCCTTTTTAGGATATAAGTAAGATATTTATATTACATTTTATATAATATTACACAGCGAATAATAATAAAATAGTAATGAAAAAGCAAACCTATTTGCGTTTTTTTAAATGGTTGCTAACGCCAAACTGTAATTTTACCAATTTGAACGAGGTCATTTGAAATGCATTATTTGCGCTTGAAACGCACCGTTTGAAAAGCTCAATTTCGCACTATAATGGTTGAAATGTTTATGTTTTTATTTCTCTTAAAAAATGGAAGACTTTCTGGACTCGAAACTAGAACTTCCGATCTCGATCTTAAATGTTTGAACGATTATCATCGTCAAAGTTTTATATGCATCAAAAATTATCAACAATAAATAAGCTTTTTTTTAATAAAAAGATAAAATATATTTGTAAAATAAACTTTGTCATTATGTTTCCTACAAGTTTTAAATCCTTTCAAATTTTTGAAACAGGTCTTAGATACAACTTTATAATAATTCCTTTAAAAGAATATAAACAATATTCAGTCACTCATGATGGTTATAAAATAACAGTATAAAAGAATTTAAAAAATAATGTAATCAAGCAGAATGTAAAATTTATATAATAACGATGAATAAATAATCATATAAATACACTAAAATACAAATTTTCTAAGTATAACCTGGTGTTAAGTTATCATAACTATCCGATTTAATTTGTTGAAGTTTTTTAAAAGAATCTTTGACCTTTGGAAGGATAGTGGGATAGCTAATCATTTTTAAGGATGAGCGCAAAGTCCTAGCTTCCCTTCCAAATTTAAGGCTGGATAGTTTTTCTATAATTTGGAAATAATTCGTTTTTTGAAAAGGAATATTAAAATTAAAAGAGATAAAAATTGTTTGCTGGGAAGAAATGAAAGAGTTAATACTTTTTTTGAGGCTTGAAGATTTGTCTATTTCAAGCGAATGGTTGGACTCCTCTGCTTTGATATATCCATTCTTCCTCTCTGTTCTAATCGTTAAATAATCGTTATCTTTGGTGTAAACATTCGTCTCTGGTTGATATAAATCGCTATTTTTTATCAAGGGGCATCCCATGATACCATATCTAAAGTTGATAAATATATCCGGATTTTCAATGAAGCACAATTTTACACTATTATTAGATCTTGTGCCATATGTGGATATCCCAGGGACATGCTGATTTAGCCTTATATTCGATTTGGTGCCAATAAACTCTTTTTGAGAAAAATTTGTCATGTCTTCAAAATTTGAAAAACTGGAGAATAAATGAGAAAAGTCAACGAAAGCGGTGTAACTAAGGTCTTGTTTCGATAATTTTAGCTTTTTATTGCTATATTGTGTGGTGTTGGCAAAACTTTGAGGATCATTTATAACTGGAGGCCTAGAATAACCATTGTAACTATCATAGTGCGAATATTCGCAATTTTCGATAAAAATATTATTATTATTATTGCCTAAACGTGAAGTTTCATTATTGAAGGTTTGTCTTCTGGGTAGTTTTGATCTATTGGCGTAACCTATTATACAGATTGATTAATAATTAAAACCCAGCTTTTTCTTAAAATTTAGATGCCCCAATAATATAAATTAAGGTTTGCAAAAGTCATGATTTCAAAAAAATCATATAAGAGAACTGCTGGTCCGAGCCATAAAATGGTATGATTTTAATAATTCTTGCTAGACCGATTTTTTTATAATATATTTAGAAAAAAACCAGTTGGTAAATCATATAATGGATCATTTAACATCCATTTGCTGCCCTTTTTTGCAATTTCCTATCGTATCATTTAAAGAATATAGCCAACCTAATTTAAAATGATAAAAATAATATAAAATCGTATGAAAAATAATTAGACTGGACTGGGCTAAAATATTTTTAAAAATTTGGGCCAGGTTTAAAAATAATAAAAGTCAAATCCATGCAGTTCTCTGATTTAAATCAAATAATTATATTTTAATCAAATATTTATTTGTTATCATTTTGTAATAAAGGTCTGCAAATTCAAATTTTTATTCAGTACCCAACCAGAAATTTTTATTTATTTTTAAGTCTAAGTCCATAGTTTGACCCAACCAAAAATTTTAATCGAAAAATATAATTAAACAAATTTTTATAAAATTAAATAAAAATGACTAAATGTTTTGTCCTAATTCCAGAGAATTTATTTTTAGGTTTATTTTTAATAAAATATTAATTTCTATCCTCTATTTAAGAATTTTTTTAAAAGATGGATTTGTTTATTACGGGTCCAATTAAATGATAGATGACAAATAAAAATCATTGTAAATAAATATTGTATAAGTATCAGATTGGTCTTTTATAGGGTTGTACTGATGTACAAATTTTTTACCTATCTGATATTTCCGGATATTATTAAAATCCCGATCCTATCGCGATATTTATATTGATTAACCATCTATCTTTGAACCAATGTAATAAAAATCTCAATATTTTCTATTTTAAGAAAACAAACTAATCATGAATGATTAAAATATTTTTCTCCAAAAGTTAATAATCTCATTTAAAATATTTACCATGTTAATTGGTGAATGTATCGTTGTTAAATAGCTTTATTTAGCCGATTTTTAAAAAGGAAAATAAATCAAGATTTTAGTCAAAATATTATTAACTAATGCTTTAAAATACGACAATAGAAGTCCAAACCTTTCTGAAATCTTGGGTAAAATCAATAAGCTTGAGTATTTACTTTTAGCCAAAATCTTGACATTTATAAAATTGGCAAAATCGAGCCTTTAACAATACTAGGTAAATGTGACTAGTTTTAAAATCCTTTTCTTGTTGCTAATAATATAACAAAAATAGTGTACAATTTTTAGCTAAAATTGTATTTTAGTTCCATTTATTAATTTGTTATAATGAAATTATTTATAAAATAAAAAATTATATATATAATCTTAAAAAAACCCAAAACAATAAAAATATTGGCACAAACCAAGTTTTTATATGAACATTAAAAAATATCGGATGGATAAAAAGTGGATTGGCACAAAAGGTCTACAAAGTGATTTTTCCACAACCTGAGCCCGAATTATAAAAAAATTTGTCCGACCCCAAACTCGCTGGAATTTAAAAAAATTTCAATCCGACCCCAGATTAAATTTTTTTAAATTTGAATGTGAATATTATCATATCCAAAAAACAATTATAAATTATGTGTATTACCTTATAATTTGCTTGGTCATAAATTTTACGACCCAATTTGGTGCTCAGGCTGGCTCTGAGCACGAACCCGGAGCACAGACTCGGGGTTCAGATGAATAATGTTATTTCAAATAAAAATTATAGTATAGAAATAGCAAAATGCAATGGCATTTTCTTGGGTTAGATAGTAAAGCCCTGTAAACAACTCAGCTTAGAGTTAAAAAAAATTTTAGACTGGACCACGAGATACCAAAAAAATAGGATTAAAATGAATTGTTATATTAGTTAGATGAGCGATTATTTCCAGCTATACCATCCTAGTTCAGAATTAGATAAAAACTTTCTTACCGGTTTGTTTAATTTCATCGCTATTTTTTTAACACGTATTTTTCTAATTTTAGAAATGTATCCTAGACAAGTACATTTGATAAAATTAGTTCCTAAATTCAGCAAGATTGAGCTTGAATGGGATATTTAGAATACTTTTGAATCGTTTATATTTATGGGGGTGGGGGGGGGGTGTAATAAATAAGCTTCGTTTTGTCATGCCTATTCTGAAGTCAAAATTTATATAATCTTCAATTTACACTTTTTATATTTTTATATAGTGTGCAATTGCCATAATTGGGTAACAAAATCTTCAGGCAATTGCGGAAGAAAATCCGTTAACATCAAGGCGTTTTAATTTATATTAATTTCTTTCAAATTTGAGCCTCTATCTTTTTAAGAATAACCCCGAAAAACCAGAGTGATCATTAGGCTAAAAATATATTTTGTTTGAAGAAGTATAAAATTAAAATTGTCGTAAAATTAAAAAATTATAATAAGAAGTTTTAATTAAAATAATAATATTATTCTCAATATTTTCTTTTAACTTTTTAAAAAGTAAATGTGTTATTTTAATTATTTTTGTAAGCAAAATATTTTTACCTGAATGCGTTTTATTTTTAATTTAATCGTAAACATGTTATATTTCATTAAATCATCACAACACCGAAAAATAATAATTAATAAATTTCACTTCAAAAATATTAAAAAACGGAAATTTTATTTTTAATAATTCATTTTTAAAATTAATAGTAAAAGTTGAATTTAATAAAAAAAATGTTTTTTTAAAAAAAAAATTTCTAATTTAATAAATAACTTTAAAAATATAAAAAAAACACATGCTGATTGTTGAGGATAATTATGTTTATATCAAAGTTTAGAAAATAATGTGTTCAAAAGATAATTTCGATATTATAACTAAGAAATTTTGTAAAGTTGCTTGTAGTAGATATCCTATAAATCCCACTAAGATTTTGAAGAGTGTTAAATATATAAACTTGTTATATATGTGAATTTAACATAGTCTGGAAGAGATAAAATGGCTAGGTCAAAATGACTCCAATCAAAAGCTCCCCAATTAAAACAAATATTTAAATTAGAGATCTGCAAAAGTAGGCCGGCCCGGCCCGTACCTGTTTTTTTAAGAAAATTTGGGCCGTATCGGGTCGGGACTTAGAAATTTTTTAAATATATCAATTTTATGTTGAATTTTTTATGTAAAATAAAAATATGTAATTTTATTTATAGAAAGTAGACCCCAAATAACATATATCGTTTATTTTAAGTTATTATAAAAATTAATTTCTATATTTAAATAAATTCAGGCCGGGCAGGCAAAATTTTTTAAAAAAAATTTGTGCAAAACTTCATAAAAATTTCGGGCCAGGCCGGGCTTGAAAAATTGGGCCCAATGCAGATTACTAATTTAAATGGTTAGTAAATGAGATAAATGTAGAATAAAATAATAAACAAAACTTTAATTTATAATTAGAATGATAAATAAGATTTAAGATTAGTAAATCAGATTTATTTTTTCGTAGTTTTCGTTTATCTGAACCCTGGGTCGAAACCATGGGTCTGAAACACGGGTTTGAACCCCGGGTCTGTGCTTGGGGTTCGTGCTCAGAGCTGCTTTAGTCAATTTTTAAACGCAAACCCCGGGTCTAGCAACCAACCAATTAACAACACTGTGATATATGAATGAAGAGTCGAGTTTGTCAGGGCTTATAGTGCGCACAAATTGAACGTTTAAACGCAGCTTTTTTAAAACGCAATTAATGTATTTTATATGCATTCGTTTAAATTGAACAGCATTTTTTTTGTTTCAAATTTAATAAAAATTAACGCTTCAATTTATATAGCTGCTTTTATGTTTTTTTATTTGCGTTTGAAAACTGCGTTGAAAATTTCAATTTGTGTAAACAAGTCCTCCTATCTTCAAAGGCCATACTAGCTGCTGCTCATTCACTGCTAGCCAAAGAAGCAGGGATAGCCAGAAATTTAAGAGCCAAAACCCTTAAAATGGTAAAGTCGTTTTGATAAATCTTTAACCAATTTAAGATTTCGTAAACAATTTTAAATATTGAAAATTTGAGGCTATAACTAAATAGATATCAGATAAATGTAGTGTTAACGAAGTTCGTTTTTTAAAAAAAATGGTGAACTTGACGAACTTTGAACGTGTTCCTTTTTTATGACGAACGCGTTCGAATTTAACGTTCGTTCAATTTTAAAAACACCTTTTATTTTTATTTATAAGAAAAATTTAATATTAATCCAAATATTTAAGAAAAATGTTTTTTATTTTATAATCAACTGTTTTTCCTTTTTCACATTTCAATTTTTTTAGCACATCATTATTATAGTTTATTAATTTGAATATTATTGTTTATATTTTAATTTAATGGATTAGCATAAACATGGATATTATTATTTCATCATCATCTGATTCTGAAAATTCAAAATGAGATGAATTGGCATTACCATGGCCCAAATATGATAAATATTTTGCAGTAACATCCTATATTGAAGGAACTAATTCAATACTTACCGAATGTAAAATGTGTCCAAAAAGTATTATATAGTTTCAAAATCTTCAAGTTCCAATTAAAAACGAAATTTGATTGTATAAGTAAATCATTATATTAGAAAAAAAAATGCATTTAGGTTATTTGACCCCAACAATAACGATAGTTATTTTAAAATTAAAAAAAATTAGTAGCCTAAATTATGGTCAACTACTGATAGACGCATTATTCAATGGGATTAATAAAAATATTAAACCTATTACTATCAAATTAATTACATATATTTTATTTTTTTTAAAGATTGGAATATATATGAAGATCAATATGTTCTTTCTGCAATTATACATCCAATATTCAAGCTTCAATAGCCATAGATAAAACTTCCTTCGAACGAACCTATCAAAAATAAACTTATAGCGTTATTGATGAAAAAATGCATTGAAAACATTAGAAATGATAATGCAAGAACTGCTATTTTCGAGATATCCTTTTTTGACGAGTAAGTAAAAGATGGATTGAAGGAGGATAACTTATCTCAATTTTTGAAACAAGGACAAAACAATAAATGTTTTTAATACCTTCCCCAAGTTAAAAGAGTTGTTTATTAAGTATAATACTGCAATCCCTCATCTGCCCCTATAGAGCGTGTTTTTAGTATAGCAAATGTCGTATTAACTGCCAAGTGTTCTGTCTATCAGATGAAAATTTTGAAAAACAATATTAAAATTTTATAAGAAAAATTTTTCATAAATAAAAATATCTTTTTATTCACTTATAATATATCAAAATAAAACTATATTATTTTTCAACATGTCTAATATATTGTGTTAAAATATATAAGACATTTATTTAATTAAATTAAATATAAAAAAAAATTTATCATAAAATTTTGAACAAACAAGAACATGTTCGATTTTTTTAGAAATGTTTACAGCACTAGATAAATGTAAAAAATGTATTTTAATTAACCTGATAGAATATGATGTGAATTAAGTATGAAATAATAACACAATAATATAACTAAATAGTTTGGTAAATGGATGTTATGTAGAATAATATTGAAAATGACATGTTATCCTAATTGAACTTAAGAATTAAAAAGATTATTTAGGATATTATATTTATTTATTGGGTTGGGCTTTGGATTGGAAGCCTCTTACAACCCAATCTGAACCCAGGCCCAGAATTAAAAAACTTTTATATCCAAACCTGACCAGAACCCAAACTCGAATCGAGCTCTGTGCAGACCTCTAATTGACACAGCTTTGATCATAAATAATTTTAAAATTATTAATATTAATATATCAAAAAAAACTAAGTAAACTATGAAGTGGTTTTAATTATGAATTCAAGTTACTAAAAAAAATATTTATTTAAGAAAAAAATCTCAGACTCTACTAATTAAGCAAATAAAATGTTAAGCTATAAAATAAATAAATATACCATTTATTATCACATTAGGTCGTGAAAGGCCTTTTTGTGGAGAAATGAGATTTTTTAGCCTAAAGTTATTTTGGATAATATTATTTTGGTTATTTCCTTCAAGGTGGCATAATGGGACAAATGCATTTTCCTGATTTGAATTAGTGAAGTGGATATTATTCAGACTGGAAAATGGAAATTCATCTATATTATCCTCCAGTTTATTAAAAAGTGGGAAAGCTACAAATTTTAATGCCAAATTTTGATTGTTTAAATATTCATGATTAATATTGATTTTATGGGAGGAATGATTTGAATTAGGAAACCTTAGGAGAGAATCTACAATAGACCTAAATTTGTCTAGCTTCCACATAATCTTTTTTATTTTAGAAGTCCCTGGTAATACTAAATCATTGTAATTAAAACCATTCATATGCTTTAAATGCAAAGAATACTGATTGTTATCAAAATTATGGTTATTAGCATTGTGATTGAGCCCATTGGGTAAATTGTGTGATTTGGCAGTTGTTGGATAATAAAGCTGAGTTTCAATATTAATTTTTCCAAGCAAAACTTCATTGTTTGGTGTAAAGTCTGGAATATTTAACTCTTTTGATGAATGCAATTTATCACATTCTGGAATTAAAGTTTCAGAAAATATATGGTTTGAGGTATTGGTGATGGTTGATAAATTAAAGCTTGATTTGTTTTTGTGATACATTTTCTGAATTTATAGGTGTTAAGAATTGTAATAATATATTTTTCTTGTTTTTATGTAATTTTTAAATATAATTTAAGCATACTTCTAAATAAATAATCAAAAAATGTGTGTTTAGCAACCATAAATATAATATTTATACAAACTTATATAAAACTTTATTTTATATTGATTAATATACCATATATGGGGGAAATTGCACTATATAAATGTGTACTATGACTTCTGAAGGTATATTAGGACATAGATCTATATAATATAAGTTAAATAATATTTAATTACTTATTTACTTGACAAATACATTGGTCCAAATTCAAATGATATTGTCTCATGATTAGTCCTGAAGTCAAATGTATTTATAAATGAAAAATAATTAAGCAATCAAAATATAATTTAAATAAATTATTCTTATGTTTATTAATTTTTTAAATTTGTCTATAATTAATTTTAGGAACTGTTATATTCAAAAACATATATAATTAAATTAATATGGAAAAATAAATGTTTACTTATAATGAGTATCAAAATGACAATTTTTATAAATGCGCTGATATAATAGTCCCAATAGAGAATCAAAAGATTTTTTATTTTTCACATAGCTATATACTTTAAGATAAATATGTAGATTTTATAAATATTACGGTTTTGTTTTATTTCTTCTTCTCATGTAAGATAAAGTTCTTTGCAAAATATAGGGCTAAGAAACGTTTAATTAAAATATAAAATGAGACATTATTACTTTGTTTTTGCGACATAAGCCAAAATATCTGTATAATCTTGTGTATTCTATTTTTAATATGTGCATTCATATATGTAATAAATAATACTTTCGATTTTATCGAGTATAATAAGGGGATGCGTTTTAATTAGTTTGCATTCAATTTGAGATTGCATATCGATTTATTTCGTAAATAATCTAATTTCACTCATTCAGCGGTTAAATTCATGCCCGCACCACGCTTCATTCAAAAATTAACAGATGTTGAAAAATATGTTAGGCATATTGGTATGAGGTAATTAATTCATCTCATGTTATATTCAAAATAACTAGTATTTATATTTATATCAGTATATTAACAAAATTGTCAATATTATAGTATTCAATATAAAATTTTAGGACATATATTTTTTTTTTGGTTTAAATAGATTTGCTAAAATATTTTATTTTAGTATTTAATAGATTTAACAGAAACAACAGTCATATATTTTTACCATTATTCAGGGGACTGGCCAAGCCTAGTGGGAATATCCCCATGGGGCCTCGAAATTTTATAAATTTGGGGCACATCTTAGTAAAGAAAAAGAATATTTCTAAAAAAGATTATCATAAAATCTAAATGTGTTTTAATACAAACTTTTTAAAATATTATAAATTTGAATGATTATTAAATATTAATTTAATTATCTGGTGGAATTACAAGTACTAAAAAAAATTTATTTATTTATTTATTTAAAAATAAACCAATTAATTATGCAATATTTATAGTTTGTATGAAAAACACGAAATTATTATTATAATATAAATATTTATTGAAAATGGACCGAAATGAAAATAATATATAATACAAGCAAAACCAAACTCCATAAAAATAATTATATTTTAAATATGTGATTTATATAAGATAAAATGGATTATTAATATATAAAAATGAAGCATTTTATTTATTTATCTTAAGTTAAAATGAAATTGACTATTCTAACTCAAAACTAAGTATAAGTATTAAAATTTTATAATACAGCCCCCCCCCCTCCCAACTAAGGGTGCATTCTAGTGGCGTAGCTACGGGGGTGATTTTCGGGTTTGGACCCCTCCCAGAGCAAAAATTTATTTTTAGATTATACGTTCAAAAGACTTATAAGTGGTGACTTTATATCAAATAAATATCAAATAAATACCAATCATATTTTTATTTTTCTGGTTTTGATGTTTGTGGAAGGATTTTATATTACTATTAAAATTATTCTGGATAGTGTTAATATAAAGATTGAGAATAATCTACTAAATTATAAAACAAATTATTGATGCATTTAAAAAAATATATTTATTATATATTATCGAACATATGGTTATGATTTGTAAGATAAACCCGGCCGAAGGCCGGGAAAAAGGGCCGAAGGCCCGTTAATGGACCCCCTCTAAGGAAAATTTCTAGCGATATTAAACGATATACAGTCAAAACCGTTTAATTGCATATCGCTTAAGTGCAAAAACTTTTAAATGCGAAAAAACCCCGCGATTTTGATAATAATTACTATGGTATAATGTTAAATTACATTTATAATTGCGAATCGAAATATCGGATAATTGAAAAATTTTTCAGGTCCCATTTATATGACAATAACTATAATTTAATCGGATAAGTGAAAAAATAAAAAAAATTTATCGAAAAAATTATTCATCATTTTTTTTATTTAACCTTTTCCCATTCATTCATTCATTCATTCATTCATTCATTCATTCATTACCACGCCAGAAATTAATATAAAAATGGTAAAAAAATCATTCCAAACATTAACCCTGAAGCATAAAAAAGAAATAATTGATAAAACTACATCAAAAACACAATTAGCATCAAATTACAATTGCCACGTCTCGACAATCTACCGTTTAATAGCGAATAAAGAAAATATATGCTCACAATTTCTAAGGAATGAACCTCCTACAACTAAAAGAGTTAGAATGAGTTGTTACCCAAAGACAGAAGCAGCTTTATTGGTTTGGTTTACCCAAATGCGAAATAAAAATTGCAGTGTAAATGGGCCAGTCAGTGGCGTAGCTACGGGGGTGGTTTTCGGGTTTGGACCCCTCCCAGAGCAAATTTTTTTTTGAGATTATACGTTCAGAAGACTTAAAAGTGATTTTATATGAATTATATTTATCTGGTTTTGATGTTTTGGAAGGATATTATATTACTATTGAAATTATTCTGGATAGTATTATTATAAAGTCATTGAGAATAATCTACTAAATTATAATAACATATTATTGATGCATTTAAAAAATATATTTATTATATATTATCGAAGATATGGTTATGATTTGTAAGCCGAAAGCCCGTTAAAGGGGGTCTGGGGGGCGAAGCCCCCAGCTTTTATATGTATGGACCCCCTCTAAGGAAAATTCCTAGCTACGCCACTGGGGCCAGTGATGCTAGAAAAAGCTTTATTTTTAAGCCAAACATTCAATGAAGGTAATTATAAGTTTTTATAATAAATATATATAAATTATAGGCATTCCTACTAGCAGCTGGTTGCAGAGATTTAGTATCTGATCATTTAATTACAAAAAATCAGGCTCTTAATGGTCATTATACTTTTCTTGAATATGCTCATGAACATCTAAGGGACAAGATTCACTAAGAAAGCTAGAGAATATAGTGAAAGAGTCTAGCTAAACTCTTATCATAAAATATTTTTATTAAATCTTACATTACTTTATAATAATTGTGATGCATGTATAATAAAATTAGTTCAAATAAAATCTTATGTTAACAAAGCATTAATAAACTTTCATTCCAGCATGGTCTGTTAATACATTTACATTTATAATATTAGAATTCATAAGATTTGAATAGGTACAGGATTTTAAATCAAATATCATGTGAATGAAAACAAAACACTTAATAAACTTAAATTCTTTTATATTAATCTTATTGTTTCCAGTTTTTTAAGCAAAATATTTTAAAATTTGGCTTTAATAATAAATTAGAATTTAAAAAGTGATAATATATTTGTGTAAAATTATATTTCAGTAAATTTAATGAAGGTAAAATGACAAAAGTAGTTAAAATTAATGGAAATAAATATTAGGGTATTGTAAAGGAAAAAATGTTATTATCTTCCACAAAAGCTTTTTTTTGCTTTAATTCTTACATATCTTAAATAAAAAATGAGATAAAATCAAGTAAACAAATTTAATTGAAATAATTTTATTCAATAAAAAATAATTTATTAACAACTATAATGCTAATACATAAATAATTACAATCATTTTATAATTAAAAGTCTTGTTTTCTTTGTTCCTTTCTGTCTATAACCATGTCTAGATCTAAAGAAAATATAAATATATATATCAAAATATATCACATTACTTTCAAGTGCTTCAGATATTTTAATATTATTTGATTGATCTAAATTAATTGAATACTTTTTATAAAATAATAACTTGATGAATTGACGATAAAAATATAGGATTATTGGTGGGAAGAAAAAAAGCTATGATCATATGTTTCAACAAATAAGATAAATTTTTAAAATTTAGTTTTTTTATTCGTTACATGACTTAATCAAATTAAAATATATCGTTGGTTACATTAATTAAAAATTGTATTTATTGCAAAGTTTAATGGCTTATATGATTAAAATATATATAGATGATAAATATCTTTATAAAAAACACAAACTGATTTTTAATAAATAAATTGTTAAATTTTAATCGTATAATTGCGAAAAATCGGATAATTGCGAAATTTTTAAATATTTCGGTCCCAAGCTTTCGCAATTAAACAGTTTTGACTGTAGCAGCTGATGTGTTGTAAGCGACATAGCATTCATAGTAATTGCGACAAGCATATTTTTATTTTTTTTTAAATGTTAATATGAAAATATCCATTTGAAATCACCTAATTAAAATGACTTCAATATAATTGCTGATCAATATGAGAAGTCTTGAAACTTTCCAAATTGTGTTGGAGCTATTGAGGGCAAGCACATTGAGATTAAAAATCCTAAATCTGGGAGCATATATTACAATAAACAATATTTATCTAAGATATTGCAAGCATTAGTAGATGGTAAAGGTAGATTTATGGTAATTGCTGTAGGCAGTTATGGTGTGAATCAAATTGAGGTGTGTACCCAAATTCTTTATTATCAAAAATGAATGAGAAAGGAGACTTAGGTATTCCACCATCTTTAAAAATTTACCAAATTCAAATATAATTCTGTCACATGTTTTTGTTGCAGATGATGCCTACCCATTAAAATATTATATAATGAAACCTTATAAAGTTAAGTTAATGTTACCAATCGTGAAACAATTATAAAACTTGTTGGTGATTGATAAAGAAAATATAGATCTCCACGTCAGGAATACTCAAGATCCTAAACAAAATAATTATTTATGGAATCTTCAATCTAAAAAAAACCTTTAATATTTCTAAAGATATTAGAGATGCCTTTTCTGAATATTTTTATGAAAATAAATTATCATGACAATTATAACTTTATAATTTAATCAATTTTAAAAATATTACTGTATTTTTGTCTTGTTATATAATTGATATAATTAAAGTATATTTGTAGTGTTATTTTATGTGTCTTCAATTTGAGATTAAATTATTTTTAAAATAATAGAAAAGCCCTCCATTGAAATAATAACAATGCAATATAATATTTATTATTATTCTGGATCACTTTCATAATTAAATAATATATCAAAAATGATTTAAATAAGCTTATTATTTTTCCTTTCTGATCTTTTTGCAAGGGTTTTCTCAAGCATAACATTGATCTAAGAGTTTGTTGATAATATACTTTCATCCATTTTTTCTAAATTAAGAATTTGCTTAAATAAATCTAGTATAAAATATAAATATATTTAGAAATGCAAATTACCTTGATCAATTTTTAATTAATTTTTTGTAAAATACATTTGATCCTATACTAGTTAATGGTAATACTAAATATATATAATATAATTTATATAAAATATAATTACAATCATTCCTTAAATTTGATTAACTTTGACTAGTCTCTATGCAGGAGATTTTAACAGCTGTGTAATAATAAAATTTTAACAAAAATTAGTATATTTACCATCTTCATATTGATAATTTTCATTTCCACTCATTTTCACAAACATTGCTCTAGTTATATTTGCTTCATTAATTCTAGATATAACAGGATTTGTTTTTTTTTCAAATTGGTAAACTGAATCCCTGGCTATATAGTTGG